TTTTAAGACTGATTGGGTAGATGCAGGGGTGACATTATAATATAATTCTAATCATATTTAATTTGTATATCAAATTATTATACTTTATTCCGATTTCATTTTAGATCCTATTTTATTCTAATTTCATTTTAAATTGTGTGTTATTCCAATTTCGTTTAAATTGTTTTACCAAACTTTTGTAATAATTTTTTTCTAGAACTCTGCACTTTAATATGGCCCAATAAATAAAGATAGACAACATGGCATCTTTACCAGGTTCTGAAATGAAATATGTTTCAGTGAAACAACTAGATTAAAATGGAAATCTAACAAAGAAAAACTTTTACTTTCTCTGAAGTATTCAAAAAATTTCCCTTGAGATTTTCAAGCCTATTAACTTTTTCATTCCTTAGGGTTACCTAGCATTAAAGAACAATTAATTTGAATCTCTAGGTTTAACAAAGTAGAAAGTTTTGTGTAACTGTGCAAAAAAAGAAATTTATTTCTACACATTTGGGTGGTGATAGTGGTAATGGTCAGTGAGAAAGCTACTTATAGTGAGGAACATCTGACTGCTTTAGCAACCATTTAGACATCACAGCAGTTTCTCCTGAGACGTGCTTTAGCCCAAGAATCTACAGCAAATAAGTGCCTAGAAACCTTGTTTTCTAGAAGAAAATTCAGAACTTTACTGTAGATGTAAAAAAATCCATCCAGTGAAAATATTTTGAGTATCTCCTTTACTGCATTTTAAATATATTGTAAACCATATTATGCAATTGGTAAGTCTGGGACAGTGCAACCCTATCCATGACCAATGATGATAATTTTCCAAGAACCAAGGACCAGAGCCTCTGTCTTGCCAAAGTTTAGTTTTAGCCCATTCTTCACCATCAAGACCTGAATAGCTTTCAGACACCAAGAGAGGGTGGTCACAGCATCATTTAGTTCACTATGGGCAGATATTTATAGCTGAATATCATCATCATATTGATGATATCTCATTCCATGCTGTCCATGTTGACAGATGATCTCTTCAATGGTTTTATGTAGCAAAGAAAGTACTGACCCCACAAAGCAAGGGCAGGGATCAGACCTCTTAGAGTTCCATTCAGGGGTGAAATGCTCCAAGTTCAGACCGGATCGCCTGATCCAGTAGCGATGGAGGCGGGTGGTTCAGAGAACCAGTAGCAAAAATCCCTGCTCCGCTCCCCACCCCATGCCCAGCTGAGCTGCACAATCATCAGAGGCTTTTTCTTTATTTTTAAAAGCATTTTTCTACAACTTCTTTGGCCAAAAAATGCTTTTAGAAGTAAAAAAAAAATTGGCCACGCCCACTCAATCATGTTACCCACACACACACACACACCAAGCCATGCCCACAGAACCGGCAGTAACAACTTTTAGATTTCACCACTGGTCCCATTCAATGCTGACTTATCACCATTTTCTTAAATAAAAATCATGATTTTTATTTAAGCCCATGCAGTTTACTGGTTTTTCTTAAGTGATATGTCATTCATCCTTTTTAAGTCTGAAGGAAATTGACTATCCCAAGATGACACAGTTGGTTTTGTGTCCAAGCCTAGACTACAAATCGAAATCTCCCCATTTCAAGTCTGATGCCTTAACCACAACACCAAACCTTGATCAAACCATTAACCATCTATTAATCTTGAAATCCTATTCAAGTGACAAAGTAGATACATGAATCTCCAATTTGTAATTACATAGTTATCAAATATCAAGGATAGATAGGATGCTAAAGAAGAAGTATAGTTTTTGAACTTTTGATCAAGCAAGATTTTAATAATGGTAAAAATATTCCATAGCCATGAACAGATATATGATTAAGCACTTTTCAAAAACTAATTCAGGATATTGATCTCTTCCACACCTGAAAAGCATAGAAGAATGAATTCAGTCAACACAATCTATTTCACAATTCTATGTCTAAACTATATAATAGAATTGCAATATACTGTATCTTTCGGAGTATAAGACACACCTTTTTCTCCCCTAAAAGGGGATGAAAATTTATTTTTGGCGTCTTATACACCGAATGTAGCCCTTCCCACCCACTGGCCCCCACCCTTTGGCCTCTGCCTTGTAGTAGTTACCTCCTTGCAAGCAAACAGCAAGAAAAAACAGCTCCTTTCAGCTTCAGCACAGCCTAATTAGCACAAGTTGATTGGATCGGCCTCCCAACTCACAGCTGATTTGTTCTCAGCTGTTTTGCCCAGGGCTCTGCTGCTTGCTGCAAAGAGGTAAATTGCTGGAGCAGTTATTTTTTTCCGTGTGTTAATCAAGCTATGCTGAAAATGAAAATGAAAGTAAAGCAGGCTGTTTGTTGTTTGCTGCAACAAGGCAAAACTGAGCAGAGGCAGAGGGAGATTTCTTTTTCTTCTTTTCCTCACCAAAAAAGGTAGGTGCGTCCAGGGCCGGATTTTCCTATAGGCTAACTAGGCTTCAGCCTAGGGCCTCAAGATCAAGAGGGCCTACACAGTGGTGGGATTCTGGGGGCGGGGGGGGGGGAAGCCAGCAATTTAACAAAGGGTTCGGTGTTTTTTTTTTTGTAATTTTATTGGCCCACGGAGCTTCAGCATAGGCTAATTGGCCTCCCGGCTCTCAGCTGATTTGTCTCCGCTGTTTTGCTCAGGGCTCTTCTGCTTCCTTGCAAAGAAACGAAACTGAAACTGCTTTGCTGTTGCTGCAAGGTTGGAAAATTAGGCAGGCAGAATTCTTTTCTTTTTCCTCACCAAAAAAGGTACGTGCAAACAATGGGAAATTTAGGGAAAAAGAGGAGAGTTCAGGATTTTAAAACACAAAAGAAAAAAAGCTCTATTTAACTAGGGAATTGTAATAATTGAGATACTATTAATTGTATATTGTGTTGAAAGCAGAAATGGTTAAGTTGTGGTATGGAGGAATATATGGGGGAAATTATTTGGTTTATTATTATTGGTAAATATAATTAATTGATTTGTAAGAAATTGGATTGCATGGAAATAACTGGAATATTCATGTTCATATTGATTAATATACAAAAACAGTAGTTATATAACTAATTGATTTATATTAAAATGTTGAATTTATATTAAACAACTGTAATATTACATAATTAACCAATGTGAGGATGGATATAAAAATAGATGACAATGGGAAGGGGTATAATATAGAATAGAAGGGAAAAATTGAATTTGATTAAGATTAGAGATGAGGATGAAGGGTAATATTGGTTTTTTACAAAAATAGATGAGGAATAAATATGGCAAAAAGGAAATATAGAAATTGTAAATTTAATTGAAATGACTAAACACTGTTTAAATTAGTGAACCGGCCAAATACTCTGTTCAAAGAAAATACATTGTATGTTTGTATGTGTGTTTCTAATTATTGTTATTTATTCATATTTGTTCTCTTTTATTCTTTAAAGTTTAACAATTCATTCTTTATCTTAATATCTTTATATTTGTTTGGGGTTGGCTTTCTTCCCTTTCATCTTTTTTATTGTACAGCAATCTTTCTCCTCAAACCTACCACCTCTCTCTTTTCTTTCCTTCTTACTTTCTCTTCCTCCCCCTCTTCTTCTCCTCCCTACTTCCTCTTCCTTTCTCCTTCTCCTCCTCTCTTCCTCCCTCTCTTACACTCACTCCTACTCTAATTTCCCTTCCCTTCCTTCATCCCTCTCTAATGCTGTATCCTTTTATGCATATGGACTACTCAGAGGGCTGAAAAAGTTATTTCTGACTGGTCCTCGCACTTTTGACCAGTCCTCGAACTTACGACTGTCCTCACATTTTACGTTTTTGCCCTATCTTGTCACCATGGTGAAGAGAAGCAGTTGTGAAACGAGTGACATGGTTGTTAAGAAAGCTGCACGGGCATAAATGTGAGGATGGTCATAAGTGTGGGGACCGGTCAAAAGTGCAAGGACCTGTCAGAAATGACTTTTTTCAGCCCTCTGGGTAGTCGTTTTGTGCATATGGACTACTCAGAGGGCTAAAAAAGTTATTTTTGACTGGTCCTTGCACTTTTGACCAGTCCTCGAACTTACGACTGTCCTCACATTTTACGTTTTTGCCCTATCTTGTCACCATGGTGAAGAGAAGCAGTTGTGAAATGAGTGACATGGTTGTTAAGAAAGCTGCACGGGCATAAATGTGAGGATGGTCATAAGTGTGAGGACCGGTCAAAAGTGCGAGGCCCAGTCAGAAATGACTATTTTCAGCCCTCTGAGTAGTCCCTATGCACATAGCCACGCCCACCCAGTCACATGATGAGCTACCCACGCCTACACAGTCATGTGACCAGCTAGCCACGCCCACCCAGTCACATGATTGCCAAGCCACACCCCCAACTAAGCCACGCCCACAGAACCTGTTGTTAAAAAAATTGAATTCCACCACTGGTGAAAGGGCCTCATAAGTGGAATAGCCTAGGGCCTCTTTTCATCTAAATCCGGCCCTGGGTGCGTTTTATACTCTGGTGTGTGTTATACTCCCAAAAAATAGATAATAAATGATTAATGCTTGTTATAACATGCAATACCCTGTTTCCGCTAAAATAAGACATCCCCTGATAATAAGCCCAATTGGGCTTTTGAGTATATGTGCTAAAATAAGCCCCCTCTGAAAATACGCCCTCCCCGAAAATATTAAAATGCACTTGCAGCTGGTCCCCACCATTTCCTCTGGTTTTCTCCATGCGCCCCAAAATAATAAGACGTCCCTGAAAATAAGTCCAAGTGCTTATTTCGGGGTTCAAAAAATATAAGACAGGGTCTTATTTTGGGGAAAACACGGGTAACTATCTGAGATTAATGGTTACCTTTTTATTAGGTATACATCAACCTTACCTTGAAAGTTAGTACCTAATACAGTAAGGTATTAGGTAGCAAATCTATCTGACTTTGTCTGAGTCTGAAAAACTAACCAGGGGTTGTTAGCACTTTGATAGAAAAACCATAGAACGGAAGCTTGCCAAATGCTAGAAAAAAGAAAATGTCAAGTTAATGTTGTATGTGCAGGCCATTATCACAAGACAAGGTTCACTCATGGGAGTGAATATATTTTATTTTCTTGTACTCCATTTTCTCTTCCACCTTGTTTTTTGATGGAAAAAATACAGGTAAACTCTGCCTTAGCAGGTTAAAACAGATTAAAATCTATCAGACATTATTTCAAAACAAAACAAAAAAGGCCAGTCTATTTAAAGCATCTTTGATTTATCTATTTCTTTTTTACCTAGTATCAGAGTACTCTGGACCATTTATTAATTTAATTAAAAATGCATAAGTAAAAATACATAAGAAATTCCATGCAATTCGAATCATATTATTATAATATGATGAGCTCATATTATCACCTTTAAAATACCTATAAAGCCCTTCCTAGCTTAATACCACATTGGGGGAAAGGGGGGGGACTCTTTTTTTCCTGTATACTTCTACCTGAATGTTACAATATTTAAATCTTTCCCATTATACTTCTCCAAGCATTCTTTACATCTTTGTTACGGAAAGTATATATAACAGGGTTTAGTAATGGAGTCAAGATGCTGTACATTAGTGGGATCAACTTGGTATTAATAGAAAACTGGGAAGGAATAGGTCTCAAGTAGGTGAAAATGCAACTGCCATAATAAAGTAGAACCACTGTAAGATGAGAGGAGCAGGTGGAAAAAGCTTTTTGTCTTCCTTCTGCAGAATGCATCTTCAGGACTGTGGAGATAATGGATGCATATGAGAGAAGGATGCAAAAAAGAGGTGTCCATGCTATCAGTAATCCAATAGATAGCAAGAGCTTTTGGTTGAGGGAGATGTCTCCACATGACAACTTTAGCAGTGGAGGAATATCACAGTAGAATGCATCTAGGCGATTGTCTCCACAAAAAGGTAACTGAAAGGCAAAATAAGTATGTATTACAGAGTTAAGAAAACCTCCAACCCAGCAAGCTATAGCTAATTGGAAGCAGACCCATTTTCTCATTAATAAAGAGTAGTGCAAAGGATTGCAAATAGCAACATAGCGATCCAAAGCCATTACTGCCAGAAGAAGGCATTCTGTCCCTACAAAGGAGAAGAAAAAGTACAACTGGAGAACACAGGCTGTGTAAGAAATGCTGCTTCTGTCTTTGAGAATAAGATCCAGCATCTGTGGAATCGTGGCGCTAGTGTAGCAGATGTCAAGGAAAGACAGGTTCCCCAGAAAAAAATACATGGGGGTTCTGAGCTTCTGATCCAAAATTGCAATAGTGATAATGGAGGTATTCCACAGCATTGTGAATAAATAGATAGTCAGGAATACACTGAAGAGCAAGTACTGTAGTTCCTGCAGGTTTTGAAAGCCAAGGATAATGAAGTCTGAAAGCATAGTTTGGTTTTGTATTTTCATGTCTCATCCCAAATAAGGTACTCCTTGTTGTGGTGGTTGTGGGGTAACTTAAAAGAAAAAAAAAATCAAAGTAAATTCTATGCAAGTTGTCAATATTTGAATGAAGCCATAAAGTAAAGAAATCCATCCTGTTTCAGATCCAGGACCAATGCCTTTCAGCACCTAGGTTCTTTTCCAGCCATATATATTTATGTGGAATTCAAACCAAAAAAAAAAAAAAAATCTCTTAAAATTTTATGTAACTTTTTAGTGACTAATTTGTATAGTTACACTAATTTACATAATTACAATAATTACATTAATTTGCATAGTTTGGAATTTTGTTGTTATTGAATTCATGTCTACTATTGTTTAAAGAGAGTGACATATCACCTATGTTTTACATGCTGAATTCTGAATCTATCCATTTGATTTCAAGATGAGCTTGAACTTCTCAGTTATAGCCATGGAATTTCCTTGAAAGCAACATGGAAGTAGTTTACCAGTGTTTTCCTTCCTTCCTTCCTTCCTTCCTTCCTTCCTTCCTTCCTTCCTTCCTTCCCTCCCTCCCTCCCTCCCTCCCTCCCTCCCTCCCTCCCTCTGTCTGTTTTATCCTAACTACTTACACACAAAACTACTTACAGTAGATAATGCATGGAACTATTTATCACATGGAGAATTGATCACCTCAGCCTTTTTTAGAAACATTAACTAGGCATGATTTTGTGGAATGGACTTCAGTTGACAATGTGACTGCAATTATTTCTATCAACCCAACATTAGTAGATAATTCACATTTCTTTTAAACCTGTTATTTCATACCTTAGATTCTTTCATAATTAAATAATGCCATACATATGGAATATATGGCAGGACAATGAATAATCCATGTCATTATGCAAATAACATTTGTCATACACATGAATCAAAATACAGACATTAAAAAACCAGATTTTTTTAAAGAGAGGGTTGTTTGCCCTTCCTTATGTATTTACATTTTTTTAGTAATCTCATAGATTAATGCTAATCTAAAGGTAATCAGAAGATAATCTAAAGATTATCAGAAACAACATATTACTAGATATTAATCTTTTAACCACTTAATTGTAATACAAGTGTGTTTTAAAAATAATAAAATAATCATAATATAAAAATGCATTGTTATTCAAAATATTTAGGACTGCAAACATAGCATAATTGGAAATATTTCCAGGTCTGTAGTTGTAAAATGTAGATTTTACAAAGCCATTAAAGGTTGAATTAATACGTGTTAATAAGACAACCAATAAGCCAGAGTTCTTGAGCAATCTCAATCCCTTTCAGTACCATTTCAGGGACAACATATTTGAAAGATGGGAATCTTTTTAAATCTATTGTATAGCGTATTTAATGGCAACATATTTAATCTAGTTTTTGAAAAGTCTATTTTCTATTTACTTAAATGTAAACTAATAAGGGATACACTAACCGGAAACAGTGTGCTTGTAATTGATTCCAAAATTCAGAAGTAAACCCAAAGCTTTGGCTTTCACCTTTAATTTCTGTACTGAGCTTTTTCATAAACTTTGTGTAATACAATAAAATGCTAATGAAAGGCCACTAGAAAACAAATAATTTGGACAAATATCAATCTAATAACTTTTTTGGGGTCATCTGTTTAAACCGTATATCTATATAACAATCATCTGATAGTTCACATGGCAATCCTTTGTTTTTGAAAACATAAATTTGAAACCATGGTTTAATATTATTTAACTCCGTTTTAATATACTTAGCCAGTCTGGTTTTCATGAGAACAGTGTTTAGAACACAACTTGGAATACTTAAAGATTTTTAAAATTTCACTTGTACTTGCAAATTCTATTGTAATCCAAATTGGAGCTATAAATAAAATTTCAGATGCAATTTTTTGCATTAAAAATTGGATTTCTGCAGTGACAAACATCCTTCCTTTGAATAAAAACATTAAAGCAAGGCTACAATTTTTGCTTTTGATTTCAAAGCTATCACCTTGTAATGCTATTGCCAGAACAGAGCATGCATAAGTAAAATGCCCAGATAACTCTTGATCTTGAATTTTCCAACTATATTTTTAAAAACACTTTTCTCAGAAATGTGAATTTTAGTTTATTTCTAATTGAGTTTTAAACCCAATCTAGTGTATGAGAGCAAAATTTTCTACATATAGCAAAACACATTTTTTCCTTTAGGTTAATAATGAACAGTAATAATCAACCTGAAACAATATAGTTTCCAAATCATTGATGCATTTTTAAAGTTATAAAAAGATAAAGTTATAAGAGATTTGTGAATCAATCAAGATCCCATTTCAATTTGATTTTAAAAGGTGGCGAAAAGTGAATTAGTTGAATTCAAATTCAAATTCAAATATTAATTCCAATTAATATTTGATTTGATGAAATATGCAGTAAATGCAGTAAATGCAGTAAATGCAGTAAATAAACTGTAAGAGGGAAATATCAAAAGAGTTGTAGCTTCATTTTTCTCGTTCCCAACTTTTGAAATGGGACAAAAATGCAGACATAACAGGCCCTTTAAAGGGCATTTACCTGAAAGGAATCATAGCAATAAATGTTTAAGCTACTAAATATTTGAACTCTTTGAACTATTCCTCAAAGCCACTTTTAAAGCCAATCAAGAAGAGATGAGAAAAGAATAAAACAGAAACATTCACATTGTCTAGAAAAGATATTCTAGAAACTATAATGAATTAATGCTGAATGTATATTAATCTGAGATGCATGTTAATCTTAACTAAATTTTTTTTAAAAAAATTAGAAGTAGAAGTAAGCTTACTAAAAAATGAGAATTTTACTGTTCCATGACTACTTCAATTTTTGGGGTAGGAGCCTTGTTGGCTGATTTGATGTTTGAGATTCTTGGTTTTTCTTTGTTTTGTTTTTAATTTTCAAACTAAAAATATGCTTTGAGTTGTCCAAAATATAGGAGGGGATACAAGATAGAAGTACCAAACCATTTTGAACCTCTTTGAAGTGATTCAAAGGCATTTGATTTTATTTAATAGCTGCCCTGAATTTGAATCAGCCTTGAATAATCTCAATCACATTATATGTACAACAAACTCAAATTATATTACATTACAAGTTTTAAATAATTCCTGGTTTATTTACATTGCACCAAAGGGAATTTTATTATGTGAACTAAACTATTCCTTCAATATAAGTTTCCAATGTAGGTTATAGAAATATGCTTATCTACCCCTAAAATGATCTCTTTGTTACCTGCAAAAGAACCATTATTGTTTCATTCTTTTCCTCCCAACTGATCCATGCTCTTCTGCATTTAATTTTCAAACCTGAAAGAAGTAGTTCCAAATTTCTACCTTAAGAGTCCCTAAACTATAAGTATGGAGTTACTCCCAGATGTATTGTAAAGTTTTTAGCTAATCAACAGCACCATAATAAATTGCATAGAAAGTTTCTGTGTTTTAGTAAATTAAGACATGAATAATCTCACTTAGCAACTGTATTTTTTAGAAATATGCATTGTTTGATTACATCTATCTATCTGTCTATCTATCTATCTATCTATCTATCTATCTATCTATCTATCTATCATCTTCTATCTATCTACCAAATTTATGTAGCTTTAAAAAATAAAATCCATTAAACTAAATTAAATTAAACTTTGCAGGAATTTACCAAATTAATCCAGGAAGCCCATCATCAGGGAATTCATTCAAAGAGAATTTTCCAAAATTTTGTTTCTTATTAATATGGTTTGCTGTACTGTTCTGGAAACATACCATGAACTGGAAATACCACAGTAGTAATGGGAAACTTTAAGTACTCTGATATCAACGGGAGACAACTCTGCAGCAAGTGGAAGATGAAACAGATTCTTAACCAACGTAGCTGACAACTTTGTCATCCAAAAGGTAGAGGAGGGAACTAGAGGAAACACTATACTGGACTTAATTTTTACAATAAATTCTTCTTCTTAATTCTTAATTCTTCTTGTAATAGAGAAGAAGTGATAGAGAGAGTTGAAGTTGCTGGAACTTTGGGCAACCACATCTTATTGGAATTCAATATAATGCAAACACAAGCAGTAGAAAATAATCCAGCCAGTGTTTTAAACTTTAACAGAACTGATTTAACAAATTCAGACAGACCAGAGGAGGTATTCAGCAGGTTCTGACCAGTTCTAGAGAACCAGTAACAGAAATTTTGAGTAGTTCAGAGAAACAGTAAATACCATCTCTGACTGGCCCCACCCCCTTCTATTCTCTGCCTCCCAAATCCCAGCTGATCAGGAGGAAATGGGGATTTTGGAGTAACCTTCCCCTGGAGTGGGGACAGAATGGAGATTTTACAGTATCTTTCCCCTGCCAGACTCACGAAGCCACACTCACCAAGCCATGCCACGCCCACCAAGCCACACCCACAGAACTGGTAGTAAAAAAATTTGAATCTCACCACTGAGACAAACCCTAAGAAAAATTCCATGGATGAAAATCCTAAAGGGAAAAACAAGTCAAGAATCATGGGAAACTTTGAGAAATATTATCATAAAAGCACAATACCACTGAGAAAAAACCCCCAAGAAATCCAAGAAGAAACCATGGTTGCACAAAGATCTCTCTGATAAACTGAAAGACAAAAAGGACAAGTACAAAAAATGGAAAGAGGGACACATAACTAAGGCAGAGTATCAACAGATAGCCCGAATCTGCAAAAATTTAGTTAGGAAAGTAAAGGATCGGAATGAACAAAGACTTGCAACAAAAGTCAAAGATAATAATAATAAAAAGTTTCAACATATAAATAACAAGAAAAGTCAAGAAAAAATAGATTCACTTACCAGAGAAGGTAACAAGGTACTAATAGGTAGCAGAGAAAAAACAGAACTGCTTAACCATTCTTTCACGCAAAAAGAAACTATAGCCCAATCTACCAAAAAACTAACTTAAAAGACAGACTAGAAATAAAAATTAAAATAAGCAAGAAAATGGTTAGAGAACAATTGTCTGATCTTGATGAATATAAATCACGGGAACCTGATGGATTATATCCCAGAGTTAAAAGGAACTGGCAGATGTTATCTCAAAGCTATTGTGCCATATCTTTCAAAAATCCTGGAACAACAGGAAATTACCTGAGGATTGGAAGAGAGCTGATGTGATTCCCATCTTCAATAAAGGAAAAAAGAAAAAAGACCCAGGAAACTACAGACCAATCAGCCTAACATCAATACCTGGGAAGATACCGGAAAAGATAATTTAAAAAATAGGTTGGTGAACATCTATCAACAAATAAAGTTATATGTAGTAGCCAGCATGGATTTATTAAAAACAGATCATGCAAACAAATCTTATTTCATTCTTTGACATAATGACTAAATTAATAGACCAGCAAAATACTGTGGTCATAGTATATTTAGACTTTAGCAAGGCATTCAATAAAGTAGACCACAACCTACTTCTTGGGTAAGCTAGGAAAATGTGGGATAGACAGCATCACCATCAGATGGATTTGTAACTGGCTAGCAAACCATACTCAATGAGTATGGTACTACATCTACTTGGAGGGAAGTAAGCAGTGGGGTACCTCAAGTTTCCATCTTAGGCCCACTATTCTTCAGTATCTTCATAAATAACTTAGATGAAGGAACTCATCAAATTTGTAAATGACACCAAGCTGACAGGAATAGCCAACACCTCAGAAGACAGGCTCAGGATACAAAAAGATCCTGACAGAGTTGAATTTATGTGCATTGAAACTAGCTAAAAAAGAATATGTAGAATTTAGTTCACCCTTCATGGCTGTCATCTTGACTTATTTGACTACAATCTGCATACATGCCAGCTCCTGTCATCAATATAAGGAAGGTTTGGTAGTAATATCATTCAGGGATGTAGACATAGTTTTGTTTTTTGTTTTTTTGCCCCTTCTATTTAATTCTAAGTGTACCATGGCTGTGCAGTACTTTGCAAGGTAAAATATTGCTTTGAGAATGATGAGTACTTGCTTGCAACTCCTTTGGCTGAGACTTTTCTTAGCTTGTGCACTGTAGATGTTCCATAATCCTATTTTGCCAAATGTCAGGCTGTGGACAGGTATCAGACAATTGATTGAGTATCTAGAAACAATGAACACAGCAGTAGGTAATTATTAATAATTTTAGTTGGCATGTATAAACAGAAATATAATAGAAAGAGTTGCCTTTAGAAGTTGTGGGCGCATCATCACTAGATGATTGATATTGGACAACCACTTGTCTGAAATGGGTCTCTTACTTGAGCAGAAAGCTGACTAGAAGATCTCCAAGGTCCCTCCCAACTCTGTTATTCTATTTTACCAAACAAGATGCTCTTACTTCAGCTGTTGGGAGCTTCATTAACAAATGTGGAGAGACCCCAACTGACCATTTTGCAGAGTGCTGAGTGTTCAAGCTTGTGCTGAAGTTCCAAGCTCCATATTCTTATAAAAATCTGGCCCCAATCCACATAGCCCTGCTTACAATGAGACTTGATCTTGACTGTATGTGAATAACTCTGGGATGTAAGGGGGTTTTGATAACTTCATTGATAAGCCAATGTTAACCTAAATAATCTTGAGGTTTTTCTACAGCAGTGTAAAGATTTCCCTCTTGCCCATTTCCTTATTCATTAAGTAAGAGTGAAAAAAAAAGCAAGTAAATACAATTCAGAATGAGCTCTAAGCTTCTAGAATTTTTATAGATGTAACATAGATAAGTTCAAGTAAATGGTTAATGAAAGAAGAGTATTCCTCATGCTATTCAAGGACAGCTGGTTCACTTTCATTTCAAGAGGCTGGATCCCACTATTGTGGATCATTTTTGTCCATTGTCCTATCTCTCCCTTTTAGGAAAAATGGCTGACAAGTGATTATGGTGCAGCTCCAGAGAATCCTATAGGAGATGGATTATCTGGACTCTTTCCAAAGGACTTGCTTTGCCTGCCAACATTGCTTGCAGCGGGCTACAGAGAAAGGAGAAGAACCACCACAAAACAATGCTCCCCACTCCTAATTCCTGGAGTTGGATGCTATGGTCAATGATACTGAAAGCTACAGAGAGAATCAAGACAGTTGCACCACCAATGTCCTGGGACCTCAGAAAGTAATCAGCAAATGCAATCTTCAAGGTATATAGAGACATACCAATTGTACTTAATTTTTTTTCATGAAGTAAATAGTGATGAAATTGCTTTGAGCCTAATATTCTGTATTCCCAAAAGAGTAATAACAGCTGTACTTTCGGCTATCTCTAATGTCAATATTTTTCTTCAAAGCTTTTTCTTTCTTGCATGTTTTGGGATAAAAGATCTTCTTTATTAATACCCAAAAGATGAGTCTTGATTTTTTTTGTGGGTCCTTAAAGAATTTTCTCCTTAAGGTGATGTCTAAAGCTTGATAATCATGGTCTGTGTTTCTTTAATCAGAAACATAGGATCCTGAGGAAGCCCCACCTCATGTTCTTTATAGCTCTGGATGCTTAAATGAAAGGTACTATTTCAAATAATTTGCAATTTCTTATTGGCTGTTGAAAGGAAATGAAACAAGGTACTAGAGCCTTGGTACTACAGTGGTTTAAAGCACCCTGTTATTAACACAGCTGCCTGCAATTTACTGCTGGTTCGAATCTCTCCAAGGCTCAAGGTTGACTCAGCTTTCCATCCTTTCTAAGGTAGGTTAAATGAGGACCCAGTTTGTGGGGGCAATAAGCTGACTTTGTATAAATATACAAAAGTATGAAGGCTATTGCTTAACGCACTGTAAGCCGCCCTGAGTCTCCGGAGAAGGGCGGCATATAAATCAAATTAAAAAAAAAAAAAAAAGGTTGATCATAGGTTTATTGTTTTCTCTGGCCTTTTAGGTGAGACTACATGTTTAATTTATCAGTTCCAAAATAATATAGGAATCTATAGATGAATCTATATATGAACCTATAGTTCAGTTTAATTTGTTACTGATTAACTGTTGCTACTTATTTTTTTTATTTTTTATTTTTTGATATTTATATAGCTTTTATCCTGATCACAGCACATGAGAAAGGGAAGTTTATTCTAAGATTTCTCAGGTATAATCACGATCCATTCATATAAAACTGATAAAAGAATTATTTAAATTCTGTATTATGTATATAAAAGAGCCGAGGTGGCGCAGTGGTTAGAGAACAGTACTGCAGCTACTGCAGCTGACTGCTAGTTCAGCGGATCAGCGGATCAAATCTCACCGGCTCAAGGTTGACTCAGCCTTCCATCCTTCTGAGGTGGGTAAAATGAGGACCCAGATTGTTAGGGGGCAATATGCTA